GAGTGACGTAAAATTGGGACAAGGAATAGATGAAATATTTGTAGGGAGTCAAGAAAGTGCGCGCGGGAAAAGAGCCACGAGCAAGTACCGCGCGCATCTCCCGAGATTCGGCCCGTATGACCTGAGGGTCGGTGGGGCCATGGGAGGTGGAGTTCCTCAGAGCACTCCCCATGGTAAATGCGAAAGAAAATGCTAAGAGATGCAACATCTCTTCGCAGTGCCAATGAGTCGAGCCGATCGAAAAGGACTCGGTCGTCGACGATTCGAGCCGCTCTGCGCTGGATGCGGTCAAGTGGAAGAAGCTGGCACTGGGGAGCCCCAGCCCAGAGATGGGAACAGTATTCCATGTGAGGCCTAACCTGCGCCTTGTAAAGTTGCAGGCGTTGAGCCGGCATGAAATACTGTCCCACTCTGCTGAGCACGCCAAGCTTTTTAGAGGCCAATTTGGCCTTCTCTTCCAAGTGACCACGAAACTGCACGCTACTCGATATGTCGACGCCGAGGATTCCGATACTGGCTGAGGCAACAAGGTGAGTACCTTGAAACTGAGGAGATGCGACAAAGGGGATCTTTTTAGCAGTAAACACGCAAACTTTTGTCTTCTGGGGATTAAACTGGACTAGATTTAGTCGCCCCCAATCCGAGACTTTGCTCAGCAAAGACTCGACTTCAGACACAAGCTGGTTCCGGTACTCAGCGACGTTTTCCCGAGAAATATTGGCACGGCCGGTGTATAGAGCATCACCAGTGCTATCATCCGCATAGCAATGAATGTTACCAGTTAGCAACATATCATTGATATGCAGAAGAAACAGCGTTGGTGATAGCACACAGCCTTGTGGATCACCAGCGTTAATAGGCTTGTAGTCAGAGCATGCACCGTCTACAACGACCTTGATTCTCCGATCTGCAAGAAAACTGGTGATCCAATTGCATAATTTCTCGGGAAGCCCATAGGAAGGGAGCTTCAAAAGAAGCGCTTTGTGCCAAACCCGATCGAAGGCCTTCGCAATGTCCAAACTAACGGCCAATGCCTCCCCCTTGGACTCTACTGCCAACGCCCATCTATGAGTTAAGTAGACCAGAAGATCACCAGCTGATCGACCCCGACGAAAACCGTACTGGCGGTCACTAATCAGCTGGTGATCCTCAAGGTACCGCATGAGGTGGCAGCTTACAACGGATTCCATTATTTTGGAGAACAAGGGGGTGATGGCGATAGGCCTGTGAAGGGGAAGGTGTATGATCCTCAACATCTGGAATCCGCGTAGGCGATGAAACCAGTTGTGTCAGACCATATGCCAAGGCAAAGTCATAAACAGATCTCCCCGCATGATCGGTTAAACGTGTGTAGTGTTTTGGATATTGAATAAACAACACTTACTTCTTAACTCCACAACGTTTATTTTGTCACACACAATGTTTTATACTGTTTATAATTTACAAGGCCCACAAACACAAGCAAGTATTATATATTAAGGCGTGAGATAGTAACACAGCACAGAAGTATACAGTAAGCAAGTTATTAGAATAGGAAGAAGAAAATTAGCGTAACAGTACAGCGTAATATAATTTTTACAAGCGCAAGCGACACGGATTCACTGCGGAAGTCTGCGGTCAACTAAAGGACGGCCGACGACGTACGCGCAAGTTCCTTTGTTCTAATTATTTACCTGGAGCGTTAGAAGACATTTATACGATACGATTTTTACGTCGTTGGCCTTCCGACATATCAACAACTAGTAAGCGTTTTATATAACATTGTGCACGTATTGTATTACATTTATTTATATACTACATACTGTTTACTTATACATTTTAATTTATACATATACTTATTATTTGTAAAAATTAATATTTAATACAAAACTAAACAAAATTTATTTTTACAGATAATATCGCAGTCCACCACACCACTCCCCCCCAGAGACCGTCCTACGGGCGATAATATTCCGGGGCCAGTACTACTCGCCCAAAACGCGTTTGTTTAATATTTGAGTCTCCTTCAGGTAATGAAACTTCCGGCGGAGTGGGATTACTGTCAACGAGTAGATAAGCTGGTTTTAATCTATCTATTGACACTGTTGTTGCTTTACCGTTTAAAAGAATTTTAAAAACCTTATCAGTTCTGTCAAGCACTTTGTGTGGTCCTGAATAGGCGGGTTGAAGGGATCCTCTAACAGCAATCTTAGGTAGACGTGGGTTGTTGTGGCGAGATCTTTAAAAACGAAGGTTGTCTTTTTACAATGACGAGAAGCTGGTTGTGGTTGAATGTTTCGGACAATTGAACGTAATCGAGTGGTGAAATCAGTAACATCAGTGTTTATATGTGGAGAAGGATTTAATAACTCTCCAGGCAGTCTAAGTGGCTCACCATATACTATTTCGGCAGGAGAAGTTTTTAAGTCTTCCTTGATTGCACTACGTATGCCTAGTAACACTAGAGGAAGAGCTTCTGTCCAGTTTGTATTGGCGTGGCAGGTTATTGCTGCCTTAAGCTGTCTATGAAACCTCTCGATCATTCCGTTACAGGCTGGATGGTATGCTGTAGTTGGTTTGTGTTGGAATCCTATCATTCTCGAAAGGGCCTTAAAAAGTTCCGACTCAAATTGACGTCCTCTGTCCGTAACCACTTCGCTAGGGCAACCAAAGCGTGCTATCCATCCGGATATCAGGGCTTTGGCGACTGTCTCAGCGGTTATATTTTTTATAGGTATGGCTTCAGGCCATCTACTGAATCGATCTATAACAGTGAGGCAGTACTTGTATTCATTTGATACAGGTAGTGGTCCAACAAGATCTATATGTATGCACGAAAATCTCTTACGTGGTAGCTTAAACGTACCAAGTGGCGATGATACATGTCGAGTTACTTTTGTCTGCTGACATGGGTGGCAGGTTTTGGTCCACTGTCGGCAATCTTTTCTCATTCCAGGCCAGACGTAGCGCTGCGCAATTAATTTTACGGTTGCGTTAGTGCCAGTGTGGCTTAAGGAGTGAAGATTTTCAAAAACCTGACGCCTAAAGGGTTTAGTAACGAAAGGCCTGAGTGAGTCGTTATTGTCATCACAGTATAATTGCGTCTGTGTTCCAGGTATGGTAACTTGACGCAGGCGTAGTGATGTTGTATTCTGTAAAATTTCTTTTAACTCAGGGTCGTTGATTTGTGATTTAGCCAGTGCCACTGAGTCGACAGGTAATGTTAATTCTTCGATTCTGGACAGTGCATCCGCCACGACGTTATCTTTACCTGATACATGCTGAATGTCCGTGGTAAATTGCGATATAAAGTCCAGATGTCGGAATTGCCGTGGAGAGCATTTGTCTTTCCGTGTGTTAAAAGCGAAGCAAAGAGGCTTATGATCTGTGTACACTGTGAAGTGTCTGGCTTCAAGCATATGTCGGAAATATCGGATACCTTCGTAGATTGCCAGCAGTTCCCTATCATACGGAGAATATTTGTTTTGCGTTGAACTTAGTTTCCGAGAGAAGAAACCCAATGGCTGCCAACAATTGTTCTTCCGTTGTTGCAGAACTGCGCCTATGGCGGTATCCGATGCATCAGTAACCAATGCGAGTCTTGCATCTGAGTCTGGATGTGCCAGAAGAGCAGCTGTGCATAAGCTTCTTTTGCAGTTTTCAAAAGCTGTCTTTGTATCGCCAGAAATGTTTACTGGATGAGAACCTTTCACTCGTCCTGTCAATAGGGCACGAAGTGGTGCTTTGAATTTTTGCCGCACTGGGGATGAATTTGCGATAGAAATTCAGTATCCCTAAAAATCGACGAAGTTCTCTCACCGTCTTTGGTATCGGGTAATCTTGGACGGCTTGTACTTTGGTTTCGAGTGGCATTAATCCTTCTGCCGATACCTTGTATCCGAGAAATACTACCTCCTTTGCTCCAAAGACACACTTAGTTGTATTTATGACAGTTCCGTATTCTTTGAGTCTGTCGAATAACTGACGAAGATGTTCTTTGTGTGATTTTTCATCTTTGGAGAAAATGAGAAAGTCGTCCAAATAGGCAAAGCAAAAATCCATACCTCTAGTCAGTTCATCAACGAATCTCTGAAACGTTTGGCCTGCGTTTCTAAGGCCGTACGTCATGTACCGGAACTCGTAGAGGCCAAAAGGTGTTGTAATTGCCGTCTTTGGTATATCCTCTTCACTAACCGGAATTTGGTTGTACGCTTTCACCAAGTCTATTGTTGAAAATATTGTACAACCAGATATGTTATGGGTAAAGTCGTGGATATTTCGGATGGGATAGCGGTCTGGGATTGTGCGGGCGTTGAGCATCCGGTAGTCGCCACATGGACGCCATCCATTTTCCTTTTTCGGTGCGAGGTGCAATGGAGACGACCAAGCGCTTTCAGATGGGCGTGCTATTCCGTTTTTAATCATTAATTCAAACTCTTGTTTTGCTACCTTGAGTTTGTCTGGCGCTAATCGGCGTGGTGTGGAACTGATTGGTGGGCCTGGCGTAGTCCTAATATGATGGACAGTGCTGTGGGGTGCTACACATTGAATTCCAGCTGGACGAGTTATTTCTGGATAGCTACGGAGCAAGTCGTGGTAACACGAATCGCCGATCATTGACTTAACTGAAGAGATAGTGTTCGACGATGTTACTGGCGAAGCTATTGTTGAGAGTGATGTGGTAGTGTCTATAAGGCGTTGGTTTCGACAGTCAACCATAAGACCATAAAAAGACAGGAAGTCGACGCCGATGATAGCCTTCGTGACATTAGCTACGATAAAACGCCAAGAGTAATCACGACGTAAACCGAGATTTAGCTCCAGATGTACGTATCCGTAAGTTGTGATAAGTGAACCGTTAGCGGCATAGAGTTGATAATTGGTACTAGGTCGACGTTCACGGAGCGATGTGTACGGGAAGACGCAGAGGTCACTGCCAGTATCGACAAGAAACTGCGTCTTTGTTCTTCGGTCCGAAACGAATAGGCGACCAGTTGTGCTGAGGCAGTCGTGTGTCGCCATTATCGACCGCCTTGGCAGTTTTCCGGCTTGAAGTCGCAGGGCTTAATGCATCTGTCTGCCTTGTTTCCAAATTTGTGGTGATACCAGCATGTGGGAAATTTCCTGTAATCAGATCTGGAGCGGCTGGTCTTACGTGCTCGTCTGGTGTTGCGATTCAAAGATCTTGGCCTGTGTACGCGCGTGGAGAGGGCTTGAACTTGCTTTGTAAGTTCGCAAATTTGATTAGCCATCGTCTGTAAGACTGAACTTTGCGTGCGCTCTGCAGCGGCGACTTGAGGTGTTGAAGGCACAATGTCGTGGACGCGGTCAGCTAAGTCTGCTAAAGCCTGCAAATCTGAGGTTGTCTGTGATGCTATCACTGTCTGTATGCTATGTGGTAAACGGCTGCACCAGATGGTTTTAAGGAAATCATCAGGTACGCTAGGTCCAGCGAGATGCTGTAGATGAAGTAGAAACTGTGATGGTCGACGATCACCCAGCTCTTCATGCATAAGTAGCTGCTTCACCTCCTTTTCACGTGTCGCAGAGAGTCGTTTTATGAGCTCGGTCTTCAGCTTTTCATATTTGTCTTTGTCAGGTGGTGAGACAATTATGTCTTTAACTTCTGCTGCGTATCTCTGCTCTAGGGTTGACGTAATATAATAAAATTTTGTTGCGTCGTCCTTTATCCCAGATAACAGAAAGTTGCCTTCCAACTGAGCAAACCATACTGCTGGCTCTTCCGGCCAAAAAGGTGGTGGTCGGACGCCGATACGGCAAATGTCGGAAGGTGTAAATGTCTTTTTTTCCTTCGTCCGAATCGTTATCTTTGTGGGCGTTTCTGCTCGTAGAACTATGTGACATTTTAATTATTATTCACTTACTGTTCTGATCCTTCGGTGTTCTTCAGGGGTCACCAGTGTAGTGTTTTGGATATTGAATAAACAACACTTACTTCTTAACTCCACAACGTTTATTTTGTCACACACAATGTTTTATACTGTTTATAATTTACAAGGCCCACAAACACAAGCAAGTATTATATATTAAGGCGTGAGATAGTAACACAGCACAGAAGTATACAGTAAGCAAGTTATTAGAATAGGAAGAAGAAAATTAGCGTAACAGTACAGCGTAATATAATTTTTACAAGCGCAAGCGACACGGATTCACTGCGGAAGTCTGCGGTCAACTAAAGGACGGCCGACGACGTACGCGCAAGTTCCTTTGTTCTAATTATTTACCTGGAGCGTTAGAAGACATTTATACGATACGATTTTTACGTCGTTGGCCTTCCGACATATCAACAACTAGTAAGCGTTTTATATAACATTGTGCACGTATTGTATTACATTTATTTATATACTACATACTGTTTACTTATACATTTTAATTTATACATATACTTATTATTTGTAAAAATTAATATTTAATACAAAACTAAACAAAATTTATTTTTACAGATAATATCGCAGTCCACCACACGTGAACCGAGCCATTCGGCGTGGTGGGCGTTAAAATCGCCAAGAATCACGATCTCTGCGGATGGGACCTGTTGTAGCAAGGAATCAGTAGCCATTTGGACGTGGTCGATGAGTCGGTCTGTTTCAGCATTACCGCTATGGCACCTATAGAGGCACACGTAGACGCGCGGATGGTCGTCGCTGTCTACGCGTAGCCAAAGGATGGACAGGTCCGAACCTTCAAGACTGCCGAGGCGTCGAGAACAGATGTCCTCTCTAACATACACGCAAACTCCAGCCCGAGGCACAAAGGAGTGCTCCAATTTGTACCCCGGGTAGGAGAGATACGAAGTATCAGCCGGAGAGGACACCTGCGTCTCGGTCAGAAAGAGCAAGGCCGGCTTCGCCGTCTCAAGATGGTAGTGGACGGCGTTTAGGTTCGAGTGAAGTCCCCTGATGTTGCAGAAATTCACGGATAGCGTGGCAGGGGTCGCCTTGGTCTTGTTGCTCAGTTTGCTCCGAGCAGTTATTGTGTTGAGCGGAATTTTGCCCCCCCCCCCCCAGAATACGCGGGGCAGCCTGAGCACCCACGCTCAGGAGTGGAATAGCATGGTCGAGGATGCTCAGCGAGGGATTCTCCAGGGGTACTGGTACCCTCCTGGGGTAGTTTATGACGTAATTCCGCTACCATGTTGATGGGGGGGAGGGGAATTGGGCCTCCGGTCACCTTCACTCACCAGACGAAGACGCGGAAGCAAAGTTGTGGTCTGGTCGTCATAATGAAGTGAATCTCATTTTTTGTCGAACCGTTGTGGTTCGACCGGCCTGGTCGCTTTGGAGTCGCTTCTGGAAGAAAAGTTCATCACAAAGAGTCTCTCTTTCTTCATGAAGTCCGCCAGCTGCTGGCCCCTGGGTTCCGTTGCCCTATTCCGAGTTGCCCTTCTTTCAGCTTACCGTTCTCTCTTGTGCTAAGTTTTGCATTGAAGTCTCCCATTTAACCCTATAATGGGTTTTGGAGGAATGCATGGCTCTAGAGATATCCTCATATATTTACTACACCTGTTACCGTTACCATGGTCGCCACCGTGGCCAGGAATAGCGAAGCCGCCGGGGGTTGGGGGCCGTTTTTTCGTTACTTTTTTCATTGGGGGTACATTGCATAGTTGCCACGCTTGGCGAGCCGGTTGGCAACCGCAATTTTTATTAATATTGCTGTTATCAGGAAGATGCTGCTGCCCATCTCCTGGCTGTTTCCCACTGTCGCCTTTTACGACACCCACGGGACGATATGGGGTAGGGGATATTCTTATCCGCCACTACACAGATATTGTATTAAAATAATACTTTTTATGCAGTTTTTGTTTAATCAATTACTGCCGTCGTATATTGCAGCTAGTAACAAAATGTACTTTTCATTTCTTTTTTATGCTGTCCTATACGTTCTAGTTATTATTGGCCATTAGTAAACATTTTCTCTCAGCTTTACGATCAAGAGCAGAAAGGAAACAAATGTTAGCAATAGTAGAACTATATCGTCAAAATATACAATATTATTAATTAAATCTTACTCATACTTATATGCGCAGTGAGGCACAACATCATTATCATAATTACAGGCTGCTGATAAAAAAGCCCTAGTCCAAAAGATTGCCAAATATCACGGTCTCTAGCCACCTGAACTCATCAACTACCTGCATATTTCAGCAGGTAGTCAATATCTAGTGAGGGGCCGCCCTAGAGTTGGTGTACCGGTAAAAGACTGCCACTTTTTTTTATAGAAGAGGGGGCAAACGAGCATGCGGCTCACCTGATGGTAAGTGACTACCGTCACCCATGAACAACCGCAACACCAGGGGAATTGCAGATGCGTTGCCGGCCTTTTAGAAAAGTGTAAGCTCTTTTCTTGAAGGTTCCTAAGTCGTATCGGTCCGGAAAATTCGCTGGTGGTAATCGATTCCACAAGGAAGTTGTGCGAGGGAGAAAACTTCTTCTAAATCGCACAGTGGTGGACCGCCAATCATCCAAAGAGTTTTGTCACGATGTGCGATGGTGAAATTGTGCGGCTGGAATTAGTCCGAACAATTCCTCAGAGCACTCCCCGTGATAGATGCGATAAAATACGCAAAGAGATGCAATATCTCTACACAGTGCCAGTGTATCGAGCCGATCAGAAAGAACTCGGTCGTCGACGATTCGAACCACTCTGCGCTGGATGCGGTCAAGTGGAAGGAGCTGGTACTGGGGTGCCCCGGCCCAGAGATGAGAACGGTATTCCACGTGGGGCCGAACTTGCGCTTTGTAAAGTTGCAAGCGATGTGCCGGCATGAAATACTGTCTCGCTCTGCTGAGCACGCCAAGCTTTTTAGAGGCCAATTTGGCCTTCCCTTTCAAGTGACCACGAAACTGCACACTATTCGATATGTCGACGCCAAGGATTCCGATACTAGCTGAGGCAGTAAGGGGAGTGCCTTGAAACTGTGGAGATATGACAAAGGGGTTTTTTTAGCGGTAAATGCGCAAACTTGTGTCTTCTGGGGATTGAACTGGACTAGATTTAGTCGGCCCCAATCCGAGACTTTGTTAAGCAAAGACTCGACTTCAGACACAAGTTTGTCCCGGTACTCAGCGAAGTTTTCCCGAGAAATATTGGCACGGCCGGTATATAAGGCATCACCAGTGCTGTCGTCTGCATAGCAATGAATGCTACCAGTTAGCAACATATCATTGATATGCAGGGGAAACAGCGTTGGTGATAGCACGCAGCCTTGTGGAACACCAGCGTTGATAAGCTTGAAATCAGAGCATGCACCGTCTACTACGACCTTGATGCTCCGATCAGCAAGGAAACTGGTGATCCATTTGCACAATTTCTCGGGAAGCCCATAGGAAGGAAGCTTCGAAAGAAGCGCTTTGTGCCAGACCCGATCGAAGGCCTTCGCTATGTCCAAACTAACGGCCAATGCCTCCCCCTTGGACTCTACTGCCTCCGCCCATCTATGAGTTTGATAGACTAGAAGATCACCAGCTGATCGACCTCACAACCGTACTGGCGGTCACTAATCAGCTGGTGATCCTCAAGGTACCTCATGAGCTGGCAGTTTATAATGGATTCCATTATTTTGGAGAACAAGGATGTGATGGCAATAGGCGTGTAGTTGGACGGGTCTGAGCGGTCGCCTTTTTTAGGGATCGGGTGGACCAAAACTGTTTTCCATGATTTCGGGACTACGCCTTGGGAGTAGGAGTATCGGAAAAGACGCGTTTAATTCGGTGCCAACTCTTCAGTACAATGGGAGGGACTCCATCGGGCCCACTCGACTTGCTGACGTCCAGGGAGAAGAGTGCTTTGCGAACCGAGCGCTGTGTAAACCGCACATCCGGCATGGAGCACTCACATCGCGGGATGGTCGGCGGTGTGTTCCCCCCATCATCTAGAGTCGAGTTGGACGCAAAAAGAGAGCTCAACAGATCGGCTTTCTCCTTTGTGGCATGGGCCAGTGAGTCGTCCTCCCTGTGCAGAGATGGAAGAGATGGCTGACAGAAGTTCCCTTGGACAGTCTTGGCGAGAGACCAGAATGCACGGATTCCCGAAGGAAGGCCAACTAGTTTCTCGGCAATTCTGCCGTTGTGCTCAGACCTTGCCTTGGCAATGACGCTTTTGAAGGACCTGGAGGCGGAATTATACTTCTTTTTAAGTGCGCTGGTGTTTACATTTCGTGACGTTGATGCGTCAGCCCAGGCCCGGTAGCAATCCTGCTTTTAGCGTGATGCTATTTTACAGGAGCGACCGAACCATGGCTGGGATCTGCCTCCGATTGGCACCACAGGGGATGGAATAAAAAGGTCCATACCCTGAAGTACCACAACAGCAACAGAATCGGCAACAATGCTGGGATCTTCCGGCGAGAAGCAAACCCGCCCTCAAGGATACGATGCAAAAAAAGACCGCATCCCGTCCCAATCAGCTGACCTATAGTGCCAAACACGGCGGCAAGCTGCAGATCGCAACTGCGATTGGAGCGTGAGTGGCACCGTACAGACAATGGTCCGAAGAGCCCAGAGGGGCATCGACGGAGACCTGATATCCGTCCGCATGAGAGGTCAGCAGAAGGTCCAACAGGGAAGGTACATGGTCTTCCACATCTGAGATCCGCGTAGGCGAAGTAACCAGTTGTGTTAGACCATATGCCAAAGCAAAGTCATAGACAGATCTACCCGCATGATCGGTTAAACGAGAACCAAGTCATTCAGCGTGGTGGGCGTTAAAATCACCGAGTATCACGATCTCTGCGGATGGGTCCTGTTGTAGCACGGAGTCTTCAGCCATTTGGACGTGGTCTATGAGTCGGTCTGTGTCGGAATTACCGCTATGGGACCTATAGAGGCACCCGTAGACGCGGGGATGGTCGTTGCTGTCTACGCGCAGCCATAGGATGGACAGGTCCGTACCTTCAAGACTGCCGAGGCGTCGAAAACAGATGTCCTCTCTGACGTATACGTAAACTCCAGCCCGGGGCACAAAGGAGTGTTCCAATTTGTACCCCGGGTAGGGAGATATGAAGTATCAGCCGGAGAGGACACCTGAGTCTTGGTTAAAAAGAGCAAGGCCGGCTTCGCCGTCTCTAGATGGTAATGGACAGCGTTAAGGTTGGAATGAAGTCCCCTGATGTTGCAAAAATTCACGGATAGCGTGATAGGGTCGCCTTGGTTGTATTGCTCCGCTTGCTCCGAGCAGCATTAGTCGCGAGCGGAATTTTGCCCCCCCCCCCCCAGAATACGCGGGGCAGCCTGAGCACCCAC